AACAAACACAACAATAACAACACACTTTGCGGTTACACCACTTAACAACAACCCACACAACAACCACTTAGCAACAACCCACACAACAACAACAACATACTCAACAGCAACACAACAACAACAACACACTTTGCAACAACAACAACAACGCACGACCAGCTTCGGGAACATGAACTGCTCGTACAGACGGGGGCAGGTGGACAGGTGCGACCTCGCCAGGACCACCCTCGTCACCATCACCAACAACATCGGATCCATCGCTCGCATGTGTGCCGTCAATGAGGTCCCTCCCGTTGTGTGGTGGTGATGATGATAGTGGTGGTTGTAATGATGATGGTAGTGGTGATGATGGTGGTGGTGGTGATGATGGTGGTGGTGGTTGGCGGTGATGATGGTGATTGGAGGTGATGATGATGGTAGTTGGTGGTGATGGTGGTGATGATGGTGATTGGTGGTTGGTGGTGATGATGGTTGGTGGTAGTGGTGGTGATAATGGTGATTGGTGGTGATGATGATGATGGTATTTGGTGGCGGTGATGATGATGGGTATGTTTATGGCGTTGAGATGCAAGTTTATAGACATGCTGTTAGAAACTGCTGTGATGATTCTACTCATCATCATCATCAACTTAGCCATCATCGTCATCATCATCTTAGTCATCATCATCATCATCGTCAACTTAATGTCACTTCATTCATCACCACACTCATCGAACTGAACGCCACCACCACCACCGTGCAGAAGATAGAGAGGGTGGTGTTTGTGGGGAACTTTCTGAGGGTGAACACCATCTCCATGAAGCTGCTCTCCTACGCCATGGACTACTGGAGTGAGGGCACCATGAAGGCCCTCTTCCTCAAACATGAGGTGCCGCTGAAGGAGTGAATGATTGAATGGATGAATGAATGATTGAATGGATGAATGATTGAATGGATGAATGAATGATTGAATGGATGAATGATTGAATGGATGAATGAATGATTGAATGGATGAATGATTGAATGAATGGTTAACAATTTTTAACGTTATTAGCGTCATTATCATGTTTCATATCATTACCATATTGTCATCTCATTAACATATCATTACCATATTCTCATCTCATTAACATATCATTATTATATTATCATCTCATCATCATCTTCATCAGTATCATTATCTTTATCCCACAGGGATACTTTGGAGCGATGGGTTGCATCATGCAGCTGATAAAATCCGGATCATCTTCTTCCTCCATCACAACCATCATCACCATCACAACCACCACTACCATCATCATCATCACAAACACCATCATCACAATCACAACCACCATCATCACAACCACCATCACAACCACCATCATCACAACCACCATCACAACCACCATCATCACAACCATCATCACAACCACCATCATCACCTACACAACCAACATCGTTATCATCACCTTCATAACCATTATAATTATAATTATCAATATTATTATTATTATAATTATTATTACTTCACAACTCCTCCATCACACGAAAAAGACTTACACAAACATACACACACACAAACGAATATTGCGTTGTATATATTGTATGTGTATATATATATATATATATATATATATATATATGTGTATGTGTGTGTATAGTATATATATATATATATATATGTATGTATATGGTAATATAATATATATATGTATATATTGCATTTATATAATATAAACCGACCAATCAAATTTTACGTTTTTATGGTAATAATCATTATCGTTATCATCATCATTATCATCATAATTACCAACATCATCATCGTTATCATCACCATTATCATCATCATCACTCCACCACTCCAGTTTCATCATCATCACCACCACCACCGTCGAAGCCTCAGTGTATATTTCGTTATTATTATATATATTATTTTTATTAAATTGTTATTATTATTATCATTTGTTAACTTCGTCGTCATCGTCATGATTATCAATCCATCCATATCATTATCAACAAAATCATCATCATCAACAACATCATCATCATCATCATCAACAACAACATCATCATCAACAACATCATCATCAACAACATCATCATCATCATCAACAACATCATCATCAACATCATCATCATCATCATCAACAACATCATCAACAACATCATCATCAACAACAACAACAACATCATCACATACAAGATGTAATAATTGTTTTCTCGTCATCGTCATCATCATTATGATTCGTCATCATCATCATCATCACCGTCATCATCATCATCACCGTCATCATCATTATCAACACTGACTGTTTGTTTGGTTTATTTCTAACGTTTTTATAAATAATAATAATAATAAAATAATAATAATATAAATAATAAAAATGTGTTTTTATTAACTCTAGTTTATGATATTGTTGTTATAGAATTAAATATTATTATTATTATTATTATTATTATCATTTTTATCATCATCATCATTATTTACTGTTATTATTTGTTAATATCACAATCATTTCTGACGTTATTATTATTATTATTATTGATCAATTTTAATTTCATTTAGATGGGCGACTTTCCTACAAGCATTTGGTTGCTCTCTAGTTTACCCCTCTTTTTTTGAGAAAATAAAATAAATAAAATTATTGCTTTATTTTATTCTACATATTAATCATTATTATTTATTATTATTATTATTATTATTACGTATTATTCATTCCATTATGACAATAATAACAATAAAAACAATAATAATAACAATAACTTTAGCAAAGAATAATATTATAGACTGGAACAATAATAAAGTTAACAAATGATGTTAGTGCTTTTATTATTTCATTTATTTTTTATTATGAATATTGTTTTATTCTCTCTCTCTCTCTCTTTCTTTAGATATATATATAATATATATATAGAACATGGGTGTATATATATATATATATAGAATATAGGTGAGCTTAGTTGATCTGTCATCAAATACTTTATATATATATACATATATATATATATATATATATATATACATATATACACATACATATATATATATAACACGTAATCTAACATATATATATATAATATAATATACAGTAATTTATGAAATCTACTGAATTTCTAGCGTTGGGTAGTTTCTTTTACCAGCATATATATATATATATATATATATATATATATATAGTGGCATATATCGATTGATACGTAGATATATATATATATATATATAGATATATATATATATATATAAAATTTTATTATGTTTTTACATTATTTTCTTTATAAATAAAATATCAAGAAGAAAATTATCTTTGTTTTCGTATGTAAGTGTTTGTTTGTGTGTTTGTTGGTTTACAATCAATCAATCAATTAGCTTATAAAGCGCTATTTCGCTCCTCAATGAATTTCGCAAACCGATGAGTCTCTGAACTTCGTAAGTGATGGAGAAGTAGTCAGAGAAGTAGGTAGAGAGTTTCAGAGAAAAGGCCAGAAAAAGCAAATGCAGATTTAGCAAAAGAGTGTTTAACACGATTTAAGAAAAAGTGAGAGCAAGACGATCGTAAACCGGGCCGTTTAGATACCATTAATATATCTGATAAGTACTTAGGAAATAATTTAGATTGAGACTTATACATTAATGTGCAAATTATTTTATATTTTATAGGTAGCCAGTGAAAGAGAACAAGAAATTGGAGATATATGAGAAAAGAAAGGGTCACGAGCAACTACACAACCAGCAGAGTTGTGTAGTTGTAGTTGTGTAGCAGAGTTTTATACTCTATCCTTTACTTAAAGGATAGAGTATAGAATCAGGGAGACCATAGTAGAGCGAGTTGCAATAATCAATCCTAGATTAGACTAACGAAGTAACAAGAAGGAGAAGAGTAGGATCATCAAGAAAAGGCAAGAACAGTTTTTTTATTCTATGTAGATGAAAGTAAGAACTTCTAGCAACACTATTATTCTGAGAAGAAAGAGACATAGTGGAATCAAAGATAAAACCTAGACTACGAAACTTGTGAGAAACATCAAGAGTTTTAGAATCAGGTAATTAATTCAAATTTAGAAGGATTAAGTTTAAGGCACATAGAATCTGACCAAGCGATAATTGAAGAAAGACATAGAGATTGATTATGAAGAACACTATTGAGATTAGATGGAGGAAACGAAGTATAAATATAGGAGTCATAAGCATATAGTTGTCTAGAGAAAGAAAAGTTATTGATAATACGAGGTAGTTCAGATGTATAGAGTATAAATAGAAGAGGGCCAATGATAGAACGCTGAGGTACTCCGAAAGTAAGAGTAGAGGAGTTAGAAGTAGAATTATTGAGAACAACAGAAGAAAAACGATTACAGAGATAAGAAGAAAACCAAGATAGACAAGAATCAGTAATATTAAAAGGAAGATGTAGCAGCCTCAAGAGAATAGTATGGTCAACAGTATCAAAAGCAGAGTCAAGTGTAAGAAGAAAAGTAGGATTACTATCGTCACTAGAGAGTTTTATTCATTTTCATATTTCAAAGAAAATAAACAAACATTTAAATTTTATTTATCTATATACATTACAAACTTTTATTATTCATCAGCTTAAAATTCATGTATATTTGCATATAAAAAAGAAAATAATGTATGTACATATATATAAACGAATACACGAATATATATGTATGTATATATATATATATACATACACATGTATGTATGTGTTATATATGTATGGTATCTGTATATATATGTTATACATATAAATATGGTATATAGATTTTTATATTTAAGAATGTATATGATGTATGTTGATGAAAAAGGCCCAAAAATGGTCAAAAATAGTTTTTGACCGTCTCAATTTTATTATTATAAATATTTTTTATTCATTTTGATTGGAACATAATATGCTGATTGGATAGACGTAGAAAGGAATTAAATAGTAAAATAATAATCATAATAACCATAATAATAACCATAATCATAATAATAATGAATATAATAGCCATAATAATAATCTAAATCACAATAACAGCAATGATATAATAACAATAATAAGTCGAGAGTTTACAACACATGACGCAAATAGTGATAATAATATTAATATCAATAATTATTTGAACATATATATATATATATATATATATATATAATTATTTGTATATATACATACAGACATACAAATAATTATATATACAATAATTATTGATAATATATATATATATATAAGCATAGGAATGAAGATAGTTACGGTATATATATATATATATATATATATATATATATATATATACATACACAAAATACACATATATAATGGATGACCATTGTAAAGCTGAAAATTTCGCTTTTTAAAAAAATTTTATGTTAAATGTTTATTTATATATATATATATATATATATATATATATAATAAAATTTTGTAAAATACACTCTAAGTTATCAGGTTGTCAGCCACTTTCTTTTCAAGTTTTTCAACTTTCTCCTCAACTTCTTACGTAACACATCACAGATCCACATCGTCGTGTGAATGGTGGAGATCTCCAAGAACCACTGTCTGGGTGATGTTCAACTGAATTTGTTATATATATATATATATATATATTTTTTTTTTACAATATTCTATAAATTCTACCGAATGTTTGGCGTTAATATGTTTGTAGTTCGTTTTTTCGATTTTTCTCACTAAAGTTTTTTGGTGAACGTTTAGTTTATTAAAATTCAAAATAAACTTATTTTTCGAATTCATGCTGCAAATAAGACCATATTTCGATTCCGAATGAATCATCGTCAGTGCTCCTTGCTGTATATATAGGGAAATATTGACTTTGTCAAGATGAACTTTGACGTTGTAAAAATTAACTTTGGTGTTGTAAAATTGAACTTTGATGCGAATTAGGTGTCAGGTTTCTTTATTGGCTGGTCATCTTCTTTGGTCTCCTTTTCTTCATCGATATTCTTCTTTGTCACTATTTACGATGCTAGTTTTTATTACTTCTTTGTTTTCGTTGTTGGTTAAGCGCCGGGTTGGAATAACTTCCATAGAATATTGTAAAAATTATGGTCTATTACCAACATATATATATATATATATATATATATATATATATATATATATATTATATATATATATATAAACACATACATATAGTATTGTATGAATTCTACCAAATTGTGTTGGCAACAATTCGATAGAATTCATACAATGCTGTATAAAATATGGTCTCCTTCCAACACACACACACACACACACCACACGCACACACACACATAGAATTTAGTCAATAAAGATTTACTAAGACAAATTAAAGAATTCGAATATAAGTTGATAAACATAATAATTCGGTGGAATTTATCACACACACGCACACATACACACACACACACATACATATATATATATATATATATATATGTATGTAACATATATATCTATCGGTAACAAGTTCGGTTGTTATCATTGATTTAAATTACGAACGAAAGAAGTTGATAAGAGAGTTGAAAAACTTGAGAAGAAACGTCTGATTACTTTTAACTATATAATATATATATATATATATATATAATATTTAATATTTGCTATAATTAAAAAAATTTGAAAAGAACTGAATTTAAAGAAAAAAAAATTTTAAAAAAATTTCAAAAAAATTAGTCCATAAACTAGAGCTAATAATACTTGCACCCTACATAGTGATGATGACGACGACGACGACGATGATGAATATATTGGTGATGAAGATGACGATGGCGATGATAATGATGAATGTAATTATGATGATAATGATGATAATGATGAGAAGGATGATGAAGATGAGGATGATGAATATGATGATGTAGATGATGGTGGTGAAGAAGAAGGTGATGATGTGGCTATAGATGTGGCTATAATGATGATGAGGAAGATGATGATGATGAATATGATGATGTAGATAATGGTGGTGAAGATTATGGTGAAGAAGATGACGATTATGCGGAGGATGGTGACGATGATGATGACGATGATGAGAAGGATGGTGAATATGATGATGGTGATGAAGATGATGAAGAAAAAGACGGCGAAGTAGATGACGATTATGATGATGATGATGGTGAAGAAGATTATGCAGATGATGGTAACGATGATGATAATGATGGTGAGAAGGATGATGAATATGACGGTAAAGAAGATGATGATGAAGAAGAAGATAACGATGCTGAAGAAGATGAAGACGATGATGTGATACGATGAACATGTTGCTTGCTACTAAAACCTTCAACTAGCAGTTCGAGAAAAAAATTGAAATTATTCATTAGGCGTTAAAAAACTTGAAAATATTATTACATATAATAATGATGAATAATATTCTATATATAATTATAAATAATTATAATTATTATCTATTCTCAATATTATTATTATTAATATTAGTTATAAACAAAGAATAAACTAAAAATAATATTACATATAATAATAATGAATAATATTCTATATATAATTATAAATAACTATAATTATCATCTCTTCTCAATATTATTATTATTAATATTAATAATAAACAAAGAATAAACTAAAAATATCATTAAATATAATAATAATAATAAATAATATTTTACATATAATTATAAATAATTATTATCTATTCTCATAATTATTATTATTATCAATATCAATTATAAATATTGGCAGTTATGGCAATATTGGTCTGACTGAATATTATCTAGAAGAGAATTAATTTATGATGGATAAGCAGTTAGAAAAAAATATTTATATACATGTACAGTACATACATACACACATAAGCTTACATACATCACACGCACACACATACACACAAACATACATACATGAATAAGCAGTTGGAAAAAAATATTTATATACATACATACGCACATACATACACACACACATACACGCACACACACACACACATACACACACACATACATATATACATACAAACAAACATACACACATACATCCATGTATATATATATATCCTCATGCATGTACATACATGCACATACATACACACACATACATGCATGCATGCATGTATGTGTGCATAGGAAACGCGGAGATAAAAATATAGAAATTTGATTTTAAATTAATAAAATATGACATCAAATAATTACTTAATAATAATAGTAATAATAAATTATGATATACAATAACAATTTGTGATATTTAAAGATTAATAATCATAATATAAATTATGATGATAATAATAATAGCAATAATGATAATAATAAATTAATATATTATTATTTTAATTAATACTACAGCAGTGGCTGTCATTGTTGTTGCTGTTGTTGTTCTTATCATAATTTTGCTACGTAATCTCTGTCATGTATGAATACTTTGTTGTTGTTGTTATGGCTGCTGTTGTTGTTAATGTTATGGTTGTTGTTGTTGTTGTTGTTGTTGATGTTATGGTTGTTGTTGTGATATTGCAGTTGCCGAGTAGCACCGTTTAGAAATGTTGTTGAACTGTCATTATTATTATTGTTGTTATTATTATTGTTGTTGTTGTTATTATTATTATTGTTGTTGTTGTTGTTGGTCGCATTACCGTTATTGCCATCAGTAAGAACACCAGACGAAGTTGTTGCAGGCGCTGTCGAAATTGCTGTTGCGGCTGATGTTGATGTCGTCGCCAACACTGTTGCTGTTGTTGTTGCCAACACTGTTGCTGATGTTGATGTCGTCGCCAACATCGTTGCTGCTGCTGTTGTTGTTGAGTCTTTTAATATTACGTCATCGTCGTTGCCACCAGGGTCAGCGTGTTTCCCAACTGCAGCCCCAGCAGCGACAGGAACGTCATTTGAGAGCACGCCATTTGCAGCCGACCTCAACTTATCCTCAACAACGGACGCCGCGCTTTCCTCCACAATCTTCAAGTTCTCCCTCCCACCATCCGGAGGTATGATAATGATACTTTGACCTCGTTTCAAATTCCTAGCTGACCTACTTTTGGAAAAAGTGCTGCTAACTTTCCTAACGTCCGCGTTCGCTGGGCTGTTATCGTTGGACAGCTTGTCCTTAGCCCTGGATGACGATGTCGACGATTTTCGTGATGACCCACTTTTGTTTGACCTCATTTTCGCCGTTACGTCATCGCCGTCGTCATCATTCTTCAACTTTCCGGCATTCGATATTGTTCTGCCTCTACCATCATCATCATCATCATCTCGTTCATCGTCGGCATCATCATCATCATCGTCGTCGTCTTCCGGTCTACCCTTATTTTCAACGGCCACACCGAACGGCAAGTTGGGCAACTCGTCCGACCAGTTGGCCGGTTCCGGCGGCAGGTCCAGTCCCAGTTTCTTCAGCTCCGCCATGTTGTTTTTCAAACTCAACAAGATGGCGTCGTCGGCTTCCGGTCCAGAATTGAAGACCGGATTAGTGTCGAGGTGTTGGAAGAAGTTTAGCAGGTCGTCACAGGACATGCGGGTCAGGTCCTCTGCAGATGTGTGTGCGCATTAATGAGCTTAAGTACATAACAAGCATACATACGTTCGTACATGCATGCGTACATTGTACATGTACATGCATATAACATGGGGCAGAACCTGGCAATGATTATAGCTAATCAACGAAGAGTCTTACACGCATACACTGCGCATACGCTGATATCGTATACACACACATACATACAAACAAATAAACAAACAAACATATACACATACATACTTTGAAACATTTTTATAATGGTATAGCCCATGGCCACCAACAATCGTTCACCCTCTTTCATGTAAACATCCCACAACCTCAAGGTCAAACTGAAGGGCACCTGGTGGTGGTGATGATAATAGTTCGATGCTGATGATGATGCTTTTCTGGTTATAGCGATCTCAAGAATAGCATTAATGATGTTTATGACTACATTGACTATGATGACGACCGCAAATGTGGCAACAAACAACGGTGATGATGATGGTAATGATAATGATAACGATGGTAATGATGATGATGATGACGAATAACAACAACAACAATAATAACATTAATAATAATTGTGAATAGAGTTTTTAAGGCTGAACGTGACAAGGGTAACACTACCACCATTAAATAATAATAATAATAATAATAATAATAATAATAATAATAGGCTGTGCATGTCAAACATAAAAATAATAATGATAATAATAATAACAGTCATGATCAATCTATCAATCAATCTTCGTTTTGCGTCCAGAGACCCGGTTTCCCGAGGTAGGACGTTGTTTTCTTTGCCATCAACTTTTTGCGCCAAATTAGACGATCAGTTGTATCCATTTCATTTAAATTTAGAGCTTTCATGTCTTGCTCGATTGTTTGCGACCAGGACTTCTTTGGACGGCCTTTGGGACGTGTGCCAGGTACTTCAACATCTGCAAGAGAAGTTATGGCACTGTTTCCACTTCGTTTGACATGACCAAACCACCGCAGACGGTGTTGCCGGCATTCGTCCTTTATATCATCTAAACCAGCACGACGCAGGATTTCGGTAGATTTGATGTGGTCCTTTAGACTAATTCGTTGCATCCATCGGAGCATTTTCATGTCGGTTCGTTGAAGTTGTTGTTCCAGTTTGGTTGTCATTGGCCATGTTTCTGCACCATATAACAACACCGGACGTATCACAGATTTATACAGTCTTGATCGTAGTGGTAGTGGGATGTCACGCCGCATCAATATAGAGGCAAGGAGATGCCATTTATTCCAGGCTGCACGCATGCGTGCTCGAACGGCAGCTTCAGCTGTTCCAGTACAATCCAGAACATCCCCTAGATATTGAAACGATGTGACTTTCTCTATTTTAATGGCTTCAAAAACAGTGCTATTTCGAATTTGTTGTTGTTGATTGATGGCAACCAGGACAAACAAAATTGGACACTTTAGATAAAGTACCAATTATTTTTGAACAACGTTTGTGACACCACTGGTTACACTGCTGACACTTGATTGAATTGTTACCTACACCAGCTTTACAAACTGAACAGGGCCATCGTCTAGTAGCTGTGGATTGGATGGGTTCACCAGTGTTCATTGCTTTGGTTTTGCTGATGTTGACTTTGAATCCATGATCGGCGAGTCTGGTGTTCCAATCTTCATACATCTGTGCTGCATTCTGCTCAGACGTGGCTGTTAAAACGATATCATCAGCATATACTAGATTCCAAATGTCACCAGTGCGTATCGGTTTTGTGATTTCTTCCATCACAGTTATAAATAACAGTGGACTGAGAATCGAGCCTTGGTGAACTCCAACGCCGATGTCAAATGCATCTGTGTTTCCAACCGTTGTGCTGACAAAAGTCTTAGTATTCGTATACATTTCCATCACAAGTCGAACAAGATATTCTGGAATGAATTGTCGACGTAGACTCCATCTGATTGCTTCACGGGGAACTCGATCAAATGCTTTTTCAAGGTCTACAAAAATGTGTGATAGTTGTTGATGCTTTGCGAGGTACTTCTCTTGCAGTTGCCGAAGGATGTGAATTGCATCAATTGTTGATTTCCCCGCTGGGAAACCAAATTGATAATTTCCGATTGTGATGCACGACTTTAATCTTCTCTCAATGATTTTTTCGAAAATTTTCAGGGAGTGTTCTAACAGACGTATACCCCGATATGATGAACAGTTCAATGGATCACCTTTGCCTTTGTATAGAGGAACTGTCATGCTATAGTTCCATTCAGTCGGCATTGAGCAATTTCTCCAGATTTCACGGCAAAGTTGTAGTAACGTTTGGATACCTGCAGTACCAGATGCTTTGATAATGTCATTTGTGAGTCCCGAGGACCCTGCTGCCTTTCCATCCTTCATAGCTTTCAGAGCTTCTGTAAGCTCCTCTAAAGTGATGTCTGGAATCGGACCTTCGATGGGTGGAGCGTCAAAGTTAACATTGATGGGATTTGTTTCGTTTAACAGACGGTTGAAGCATTCTCTCCACTGTAGCTTGATCTCATCTTGTTCAAGAACCATCTCATTTTTGTCGTTTTTGATACATGAGGCACCAACTATGTCTTTTTTCGTACGCTTTGCTTGTTTTGCTATACGATACAGAGATTTCATTTATTCACCTTTGCTTTTAGTGAGCCACTCTCTGCACTGATCTGTCCGAGCCAGTGCAACTTGACGTTTTGCATAGTTGTTCTTCTCACGGAAAATTTTATGGTCATCTACAGACTTTGATTTTTGCCATTGCTTGTATGCAACTTTCTTTTCAGCTATTGCATTTTGTACACTGTCATTCCACCGCCAAGTGTCACGTTCATGCTGACGTTTTGTACCAGTTTTCCAACAAACTGTAGTTGCAGCGTTCGTTAAAACGGTTTTGTATGTACTCCAATCTGTACTGGCTTGCGATTGGTGGTCTAACTGTGTGGCGACAATCTGTTGAAATTTTTCTCGATGAATATTGCTTTTCAGCTTCCACGTTTTGATTCTCCGAGGCATTTGTTTAGACTTATGTTTTGACAGTTCGACAACCAAGTCTGCCACAAGGAGTCTATGTTGGGCGACACATGATTCGCCTGGTATAACTTTGACGTTTTTAAACAGCCTTCGGTGTGGTTGCTTGACAGCAAAGAAATCAATTTGCGTGGCTGATGGCCCACTTTTGTATGTTATGAGATGTTCCAACCTCTTTCTAAAATATGTGTTCAGTAAACAAAACCCGTGACTTTCAGCAAACTCAAGGATGCGGTTGCCATCTTCATTCCGTTTTCCATAGCCAAAACCGCCATGTACGTTGTCAAAACCATAATGTGACAAGGGTAACACTACTATCGTTAAATAATAATAATAATAATAGGCTGTGCATGTCAAACATAAAAATAATAATGATAATAATAATAACAGTCATGATAATAATAATAATAATAATAATAATAATAACAGTGATGATAATAATAGTCCTAATAATAATTATGAGAACATCCTTTTATTTTCTAACTCCAAATACCGAATATCAATAATGAAATAATTACAAAATTCTATTAATCTAAAATGCTCGTCACTGCAAGTGAGAACATTTTAAAGGGACTGGTTTAATTGCTCAATTGGGGTTCAATCATTCTTATTATTTTGGCGTTATCAATCAAATTTTATGATAAAAATAGAGTTGCAATAAAGTTAATAATAATAATAATTATTATTATTAATATTATTATTATAATACAAACAATTAATAACAATAATGCAATAAGAAATAATATATATATAACTACCCTACCCTAAATACAACAATAAGAAATATGTATATACAACCACCCTACCCTATCTAGGAAGCACTGCAGGTACCATTTTATGGTGTACAACGTTGCTGATATGGAATGTTTCAACTGGAAAGAATAATAATAATATTAATAATAATAGCAATAATATTAATTATAATAACTATAAAAATTATTATATGATGATAATTACTATACATATACATATATAAATATATATATATATATAATAACGATGACGATGAAAATGGTTACAAAGGATAATAAAAATCATCATCATAAGAATAAAAATAGCAGTGAGTGCAGTCGTACTAACAAAAACAACAACAACAATAATAATAATAAATAACATAATAGCAGGAATAACAATAGTTATAATCAGGCCCTGGAAGAGAAGGTTAAGTTGGAGGGGGTAGGAGGGTCATTTGGAACGGCCCTCCGAATTTAAGGGGTCGCCAAATTTAAGGGATCTCTAAAAAAGACCTTATGTAAAATGCTGCTTTCTAGAGGAAAACTCCAGAGCTTAGAAAGTAATGAAGTGAGAATTTTTTAAGAATAAAAACTGGAATAATGTCAAATGGAGATGTTCTGTTGGGCAAAGAGTTGACAAGCTTTAGAACTTTTTCTGAGGTGGCGACTGAAAAAGAAGAAAAAAGTGAGAAAGAAAGAGGTCCATGGCTTGGAGAAGGATTGCTAGAAGAAGCAAATGTTGTAGCAATTGACGGTTAGGTTAGTTCTTTTAAGGTCTTTTTTTCATCATTATTATTATACAATGTTCTTGCTGGCATGAGTGATCACGAGGCCCAACAAACAGCATGCGCAAGGTAATAAATAATATTATTAGAAAGGGAACGAGATTTTTTTTGTAACAAAATAAGAAAGGGTTAGGGTTAGGGTTACTAAGTTACTAATACTAAGTTATTGACCAGGGTAAAATTTTAAGTATATATCGAGCCTGGCGACCCAACGAGATGACAAAATGAAAATACAGAATGTGTAGAAGAGACGAAAAATAAACTATTTCTCGATTGACCGAATTTATATAGCTATAAGTAGCTTGTACAATTCAACTGCCTCACTAGCGAAAAATAAACTTTGGCCAACAAGTAAAAATAAATAGAATTTAGAATTCCAGAAAGACCACAAATCAATCGGCTAATCTTCTCACATGCTTCTAGCACACTCAACACTAAAATATATATATTTAATTAAAAATGAAATCTATTTTAGTTAATTAATCTATTTATTTAAAAAAGAAAATCTATTTATCCAATTTAGAAAGAAATCTTGTTATTTATAGCAGTAATTTTTTGTAATAATTTAGGGACAGGGGAGTTACAAGACACTGGTTATAACAACCATACTGCTATGACTACAATAACACTTTTAATAATAAACATTAATCAAATTAATCAAAAATACTCTTGCTTCTACTACTGCTTCTACTACTACTACTACTACAACTACTACTACAACTACTACTACTACTAATACTACTACTACTACTACTAGTGCTGCTGCTGCTACTACCACTACTACTGCTGCTTCAAGTACAGGTGCACTTACAAAGTGTTTGTGCACTCTTGGCAGACATTTTTCTAGTATCTTGTCATGATGCTGCTGAAACCGAAACAACTTGGGGAATCCCGGAATGAAAAACCCTGAATAATTTTTCAATGATAATAATAACAATAACAAAAATAATAATAATAAATTATTAATAGCAATATCATTGACAAAAAATTAGTTATATAATATAATAATATTCTATTTATACAAAAAATCCAAATATGGAAAAAATTATTCTAACATTATTCATATCATTGCTATTATATTGCATAAATATTATTATTACCATCACTATTTATATCATTATTATTATTATTATTTATTATTATTATTTATTATTATTATTTATATTATTATTATTATCATTACCATGCATGGCGTGTGTTCTATTGCTAAAGAGTGCCGACAAGGACCAAAAAGCATCCTAAAAATAAAAAATAATAAAAATAATAATAACAATAATAATATTGGGAACCTCCTTTTATTCTCCCACAAAAACATACATTGAAAATTCTAACAAAAGAGTTAAAACAATTCAATAAGGTGATAGGGTAACGATAGTAGTGGCAGTAGGCGGGTGCAGAGCGGTACAACATATTTAAATTAGCATTATCGGTTGTCTCTGTCACAATAAACTCAGTACGATGACCTTATAACAGAGTTTATCAATTCATCATTAAAAGAAATTGGCCATTGAACTTTAGATAAAAACAGACTGAAATTGTTATAAAAACCAACAGGAGATATCTCAAACGTATTAATAATAATTGAGCAATGTTTATAATTGTTATATAAATAGCAGCGTAAACTGTCAGAATATTTATTTCTTTTATATTGTCTTAAGGACTCCAGGTTGGTTTCATGGCACACAGTTAGTTCAAGAATTTCAATTTGATCATCAAGAAGTATGGCTATATCGGGTGGCAGTGTGTTGAACAGCTGTGAAATTGGGTAGACGTCATTCGACTCAAAGTCCGCAAATATGAAGCAATTTGCAGGAACGTATACATTCTGACAGTTTACGCTGCTATTTATATAACAATCATAAACATTGCTCAATTATTTCTTAAGTACTTATCAGATATATTAATTGAGCCTAAACGCCCCGGTTCACGATCGTCTTCTTGTTCTCACTTATTTAGTATATTTATCTTGCTAGCGGTGCTGTGGAGCCGCAGTTGGAAACTACATGTTTGTTTGTCTGACGGGAGCTGCAAAGAGGGCATAGAGGACTTGGTATTTTGCCCCACATAAATAGATTAGCATTTGTTGGCAGTTGTTGAACCAGGTATTTTATTACAAACTTGTATAGGACTCCAGCATTATTTTTCGTCGACTTTGACCAGGCTTCAATTAAATCAACAAGTTTCTGAGCGCCTTCTGTGCTGTGCGCTATGATTGCCTAACCGTCGGCAAACTAGAGCCCTGGTCTCGAAATTAAATCTGAAGTTGGATTCCAGAGATAGCCATATTGTTTATATTCTTGACTATCTAGAATTTTCATGAGAGAGTTGAAAGCGATATTGAAAAGCAGCGGTGAACTTGAATCGCCTTGGAGGACACCCACACCCTTCCGGACCGGTATTGCTTGTGTGAGTTCACCGTTGATTGACATTGAATAAATTGATGTTATTAAACCATTGATGTTTTAGAATAGAATCGATGAGATGATGGCTCATCTCGCCAAACGCATTTCTCAAATCCAACAATGCGACAACAATGGTTCGTTGATGGCGTTTGGCATTTTTCATCAGGTGAGATAGCATTTGTGTAGGATTAGGGTTAGTCCATCAATTGTAGGGTAAAACCATTTTAGAATACTTTTGCTGATGAAATTATTTTTGTCGAGAAAGTTATACAATCGTGATTTTATGAACGCCAAAAAAATTTTGTAGAGTATTGGTTGTAGGGTAATCGGGCGAAAATTTAAAGAATTATTAGCATCGCCTTTTTGTAGATTAGGATGGTAAGCCCCCTGCGCCAGCACTGAGATATTGTAGTTGAGCGCCAACATATTACCAACAATTTGAGCAAATATGTTCTTAATATTGGGCATCTTTTAAAGGTTAGTTATGATATTTGGTCCGGCGGACATGCAGATGCTTTTGATTTGCTTTCACGAACAATTGCTGTAATCTCGCCGTATGTTGGCGGTTCCAAATTGCCAAAGAAATGCCTAGAATGTTGTTGACTTACCCCATTCAAATAAGTTTGCATCAGTGGGAAGCTGTTGTATTAAATATTTTCTAGTAAACTTATAGAGCACCCTCGGTAATCCTTCGACGTTTGTGATGGGAAAATGTACTCACGAAATGTTACAATAATAACAATAATAATAATAATAACAATAATAATAATAACAATAATATTCATAATAATAATATCAGTTTTACAGCAATCTCATCACCATCACACAAATATCATCATCATCACACCAATATAATCATCATCCCACCAACACCATCACCACCACAATTTCACCATCACCACAACGATGCCATCACCATCCTCCTTCTGCCCATCCATCACCTCCTCGTTCATGTACATGAGTAAAACGGCTGCAATCTGACTCATGCCCTGGCAGTAGCCAACTTCAACGTTGTATGCCGAGTAGGCAGATAGCACCCAGAACAGGTCCTGCTGCCTGTTTAGGAAAAGTTAAATTGGGTCAGGTCATGTAGCATGGCAAGCAATAGGGAAACTGGGTCATGTCATCATAATCGGGTCGAGTCATGTCGTGTCAAATCATAACAGAGTAGGCAGACAGCACCCAGAACAGGTCATGTAGCTGGCAAGCAATAGGGAAACTGGGCCAAGTCATGTCGCGTCATCATGATCGGATCGAGTCACGTCACGTCACAGATAGCACCCAGAACAGATCCTGATGTTTTTAGGGAAAATTAAATTGGGTCAGGTCATGTAGCATGGCAAACAATAGGGAAACTGGGTCAGGTCATGTCATGATAATCGGGTCGAGTCACGTCACGTCAAGTCACAACAGAGAGCTGTGTGGGAAGTAAGTCGAGTGAGATAAGTTGCGTCAAATGGCAGAGGTGGAAATTAGGCGAGGTCGAGTTTACTACTGGCGAGGTCGAGTTTACTACTGCAACAAAATGAAATCAAATGGGAAGTTGTATAGAGATACAAATTAGGTCAAGCCAAATGGTGACGACAGTATAATATAGAAATTAGGTCAGATCATGTTTATTCAACGGTATTGCGTCAGTAAAATATTGATGAATATATGAATCGGGTTACATTTGGCAAATGCATAATTTACAACCACAATAATATGCAAATGACAAACATTAACAAACAAGTCGACCTATTTAATAATTCATAACATATGGGTCAAGTTAAGGTCAGCTAGTTCATTTCTGTAACATCGCTGGACAGCTGACACCATTACAACTATCATTACTACTATAGTACAAAGAATATAAACATTTCAAAATCCAATTAAATAGGTCAGATAAGGTCAAAACTCAGAGGTCAAAACTTCATGATCCAGATAGATAAAATTTGAATTAACTAGGTCAACTAACTTGACGTCATATCTCCTGTAGAACATCACGTGATTTCGGTAGGTTCTGTTGATATCTAGGTCGATCTGTCTGGCGTCGTATCCGTGCCTCGGAGCCAAAAGTTTTAGCCTGTCATAGACGCCTGCCTGCTCCTGTTTCATCCTGGGAATTTCCAGGAGCAAGTTCCAGACGCGGCCCCGCAAGGAATCCGGAATTCCTTTGTACAATCTCTCTGTCAACTGTTCGATGTTGATCGGTTGGTTGGTTGGTTGATAGGTGGGTGGTTTGTTGGTTGGTCGGTTGGGTGGTTGGTTGGTTGGTTAATAGATGGGTGATTTGATGGTTGGTTGATAGGTGGGTGGTTTGTTGGTTGGTTGGTCGGTTGGGTGGTTGGTTGATAGATGGGTGATTTGATGGTTGGTTGGTTGATTGCTAGGTTGGGTGGTTGGTTGGTTGGTAGGTGGGTGATTTGTTGGTTGGTTGGTCGGTTGGTTGGTTGATAGATGGGTGGTTTGTTGGTTGGTTGGTTGATTGCTAGGTTGGGTGTTTGGTTGGTTGGTTGGTTAATAGGTGGGTGGTTTGTTGGTTGGTTGATTGGTTGGTTGGTGGTTGGTTGGGTAATTGGTTGGGTGGTTGGTTGGTTAGTTGGTTGGTTGGTGGTTCGTTGGTTGGTTGGGTTGTTGGTTGGGTGGTCGGTTGCGCCTCTCAACTTTTGCTGCCTCGACAGTGACCGGGTTCGAACGCGAACAGATTTCCGCCAATCAGACAAACTCTGCGAGTGTGTGTCTGTTGTTGTTGCTGGTTGGACTTCTTCGAGTGATGATGAGTGATACGAACGACACACGTGTGTGTGTGTGCATGAGAAAATGAATGAATGAATGAATGAATGAATGAATGCATGCCAATTAAAACAAAGTAGTGATGAAAGCTGAGCTGACAAATGATTCAAATATTATTAGCAATAAAAAATAAAAATATTAAAAAAGAATCTATTATAATTATAATTGCAAGTGTTGGTGTGATAATTATGAACATTATTTTATTTTAATTGTTGTTGTTGTTATTATTATTATCACCATTATACTATCACCACCACCATCATCATCACCATCACCATCGTCATTACCACCACTATCACGTGACCTTCTCCCCCGGCAGTGACTCCTCCCACTTGGTGATCATCTTCCGCCATTTTTGCGTCCTCTTCATCTCAGTCTGCTTGTGCTGGGTTGGTGGCAGATGGGTTTGATGGATGGATGAATGGATGAGTGGATGAATGGATGGATTGGTGGAAGGTAAGAAGAATGGATGAATGATTGTCTGTCTCAGTATGCTTGTACTGGGTTGGTGGCGGATGGGTTGGATGGATGGATGAATGGATGGGTGGATGAATGGATGGATTGGTGGATGGTAAGAAGAATGGATGAATGGTTGAGCTAATGAATGAGTGAAATAATTGATGAATGAATGAACAGGTATGGTGATTAGGTGGATAGGTAGGTATGGTGGGTTGAATGGATTGGTGGATGGTAGAATGGACTGAAGATTGGTTAAGCTAATGAATGAGTGAAATAATAGATGGATGAATAAACAGATAAATGAAGGAATGCATGTATGGTACAAACAGGTATGTTGATAGATGGAGAAAGATGATTGAACTGAAGAATCTATAAAAATTAAATGAATGAATGAGTGAGTAACATGAATGAAACAGTGAATGAATGATGGAGTGTCTGAATTGGGAAAGAAGCAAAAAAAATGAATGAAAGAAAGAATGCAGCAAACAATGAATAAATGAATCAAACAAATAATTGAATGAATGAACGAATGAATAAATGAATGGATTGAATGAATGAATGAATGAACGAATAAATAAATGAATGAATGAATGAATAAATGAATGAATGAATGAATAAATGAATGGATTGAATGAATGAATGATTGAGTGAATGAATGAATGAATTGAACGAGAGAATGAAGAAATGAAACAACATTCACCTACCTTGACCTCCTTCATCGACAGCGCTTTTGGTAAGGCAGTTTTGCTGATGGAGGAAGGAAAAATTGGAGATCATCATCATGATTGCCCATTTGATAATAATAATAATAATTATAATAATAACAATTATAATAATAACTATAATAATAATAACAATAACAACAACAACAATAAGAATAATAAATACTATTTCGATTCGCTTAAGAGAACACAGAACTAACTGGATGAAGCCGTATCGATCCGTCGTCTTGTATATCTCGTATTCAGGGTCGTCCCATGGCTCCAATGTTACTCTGTCACGCCCCTACATATATATATATATATATATATATATATATAGGATTATTTGTGTAGTTAAATAGGGCCCTTTTTTAAAACCTGAGATTTTCAACCACCAAAGTATATTTCATAACCCAGTCAACTAGCTAAAATGGTAAATGAGAAATTGTACATAATGAATGGTAAGTGTACAATGAATGATATAATTGAGGATGGGATGGAAATAATTTGGCTACAGCCTTTTCTTAATGGTGTTAATAGTGCTGCTACGACTGCCACTACCACAGCCACTACAACTGCTGCTGCCACTACCACTACTGCTATTTATAATAATACTAATACAACTAACTTAACTGATCAGTAAATATAATACTGCTGCTGCTACTACTACTACTTTACTACTACTTTACTACTACTACTTCAATGTTGCAACTACTACTACTACTAGTGCTACTACTACCACTACTACTAATAATAATAATAATAACAATAATATTAATAATGATAATAAATAATAATACTTACAACGGTGTACTTATGAAATATTTCTTTCCTTTCTTGCTTGGCCACTTTCCTCAACTCGTCCTCTTTTTTGGTTGTCGGCTTCGACAGCGTAGGAACTAATTTAGACTTGGCTGCTGTTTTTTTCATTGATATTCAAAGTATTATTCAAAATATTCTTCTAAAGGATTCAAATTTATAATTTGAAATTTTGTTTTTGATTAGCAGCAGTTGGGGAAAATAAATGATCATTTCATTTTACTAATCACAAACTTTACTTAGTACTAAACATGAGTCTTATGTAATAAATAAGTTCAAACTTTATAAGAAGAAACTTATTTTACAATGTTAAAAGTACATTAATTCTGCAATTAGTATTAAATAATAATAATAATAAATTAACAAATATTAATATATTTAGCAAATCTAACTAAATAAAATAGCAATTACATTACATTACTTAGTAATGATTACTACAACTAGTAGTCACTTTGTTAGTTTAAAGGAAAAAATAAAAATGTTACAAAAAGGTAAATAACTAATTTAACTTAATTTACTAATAAATTAAAGTAGATTTTTAAATTAAAATAACACTAATATAATATTATTATGTCATATTTTATGTAAAAAACCAGCACTGACATTTCACTGATTTCACCAAATGTCAAAATGAAACTTACACATCATGAAAGATCTGAATTCATCCTCTACTACTTTCCCAATGCTTTTGGCCCGTGGTCTCGAACGAAACTTCACTCACGTCACGTCCTAAAATTAGTCGAAGCTCACAGATGATCACAACAGTACAGTTCAGTAGATCGGATGGTCATTAATTTGAGCGAATCCTCAAATAAAATCAAAAAACTTTAAAATTTAAACTTATTTTTTAATGCGTTTGAAAGATTTAAAATTTTTAATTAAAAAAATATTTTCTTTCATTATTCAATTTAAAAACCTTTAAAAGTTAAAAATAAAAACTGTCGCTCAACTTAGATTAATATTAAAGTTGTAGATTTGAAAAACCAGGTGCCCTAAAAATGGTTTCACGTGGTTCCACATTGGAGTTTTTCAAAAAAAAAAGATTTCCTGTTCAACAATCAACATGAATGTTGGTTTTAATGTAAATTTCCTTCTTCACGTCCAATTACAAACGTTAAAATATTTTCCGTTTTTGAATATACTTTTATTGGTGAAACATTCCAAGGAAGCTCGAATTGCTCTGAGAACGAAGTACGAACCAATAAATAAGATATACAGAGTTATTTTCAAATTTTAAAACAAATATTTTATAAAATGCACCTTAATTATTATACCTTCTTGTCTCTCCGATTTATAGGAAATTATTATTTTTGAAATTATCTTATAACCACATTTAATTAAAATATCAAGTTTTAACTTATTTAATTATTCATTCTAACCATCGATTAAGCCTTACCTAGAACAGAACATTATTTGAAAAAAGTTTGAAAGAAATAAATAATATTAATAAAACAAAAAAGTTTATCAAATAAAAATTGAAGAACTGAAAATGAAATAATGCAACTAGTTGACAAAATCCAAAGTATTTAGTTATACGGTGCAGAACCATTCTTAAGGACAGCAATATTAAAATTCAGCACGTAGCGGCATAAACCAAGTTGTTCAGATCACTTGTCATAATTTTTTTGTGCTTGAGCAAAAGTACAAACTGAGGTGTTTTTTTTCTTCTTTCGGTAGAGTTTCAATATTTAGAATTTTTGTTTTTTTAAATTACCGTTTTTTGTTATTGAAGAGAATAAAAAGTGTAATTCAATTTTTCGATAACGTCTAATAAAAACAATCAACATATTTCATATTTTTTAAAAACTTTAACCGTTAATTGTTCAAAAACTATTTTTTAAATCGTAAAATTGAAGCATTGTTGGCTTAAAATTAAAATGAGCATAGGAATATTTTCATCTATTTATCAATAAAATATTTCTTCAATACCTAGTAGTTAAAATATCTATCAGAAGAAGCGTAAAATATTGCATAAATAAACAGTCTTCTAACTTTCATCATTTTTTAAAATTATTTTAAGTTTGTAACTGCGTAACTTGCGTCCTATATTTGTATATCACTAATTTTACAAAATGTCTCTCACCGGTCACTTACGAAGTATCTTATCAATAAATTTTGTAGTATTTGAGTATCACTAACAATTCAAAATATATAAACACAAGATATTAGGTTAAGTGGTTTGGTTTGCATAATCAAATTAATCAATTAATTGGATCCGTCATTCTTCCAAATGTCTTTTACCAGTCACTCACAAATTACTGTACCAATAAATTTAGTAGCTAGCCGGTGAGCAAAACTTTTAATTTGAAAGTTGATAGAAAAAAGGTTAAGCTAACGAAAAATTATGATATTGATCGGGAAGTAGAACAGAAAAACCTTGGATTCATAAAAATTTTCTTTTTGAGACAATATATTTCATTAATCATTCAAATCAGAATAATTGGCTGTAGGATGGCTTAAATTTGTTTAAAAAAAATTGACCACCATTTTTATTTATAATCACACAATTATGCATATCAACATTTACTGTTAAAAACCAGTGGTCCTGGGCCGAATTTGCCCTAATTTTAATGGTGTGAAGAGCTGAAATAGTTTTCAGTCCAAAATTTTACAAATTTATATAGAAATTTCGCTCAATTGTGTTTTAACCATGGCGAAATTTTCAATTCAGCCCCTTCTGCTTACGCACTTGAATATTTATATAATAATATTAATAATAATAACATATATTATATTATTCAATTTATTGCAGGATTACAAAATGCAATGAGTGGATTAATACATACATACTATACATATAGGCTACATGTACGGAGGAAAGTCCTTGTTCTTATACCATTTGTAGTTAGGATTGAATGCAGATTGTGGTGTTTTTTAGTAAATGTTATATCATTCATTCATTCATTACTTATGACAAAATTTAGAATATATATATATATATATATATATATATATATATATATATATATACAGTATTAGAAATTAGCTTGCAAGAAAGATATTCAATTTTAGCAGACAGAGTGAAAAGTGTTTATTCAAAAGCAAGTATTCCTACAATAGAAGTGAATAGCACAATCATTAGGATTAGAAGACTTATGGATAAAGTACATACACTTGAAAAATATTCAGATGCAAAAAGAACATCAGACACGTTCACTGAGAAGTTGAATTCTTTTAAGCAGTTATTTGACATTTGTACCTGCAAATGCTTTGATTCGGGAATTAGAGATAGGAACTTATGCACGTGCCCACTGCCAAATAAAATTCCATTGATAGAGTGGGATTTCTGGGTTGACCAGAAAACTGTTAGAAATATGATAATTGGTGGAGTAGACAAAGAAACGACAGCAACACTGGAAGAGAGACAAAAACGCAAATTGAACTTGATGCATTAGATCAGGCTGTGGTTCGTCCTGTTCTCTAAAATAACTGCTACTTTGCGCATGCTGAAAACATTCTCTTAGCTGCAGTTAGTGATAGTGATATGGAAATTCGTCGTTTTTCAGTAGAACAAATAATAAGAGCAAGAGAGAAGCAGAAGCAAGAGAGTAACATACCGGTTCGCGTCTTTGATAAGAAGGATATAACATTAAATCTGGCTGCTGAAAACATTCTCTTAGCTGCAGTTAGTGATAGTGATATGGAAATTCGTCGTTTTTCAGTAGAACAAATAATAAGAGCAAGAGAGAAGCAGAAGCAAGAGAGTAACATACCGGTTCGCGTCTTTGATAAGAAGGATATAACATTAAATCTGGCTGCGACATCGTTCATTAACATGATTGACTGGGACCAGAGTAATGTTACGTCTCCTCCGATGCTATCACACCTTTCAAATGATCAACTTACTTACACACATCCAATACTACTGCCCGATGTTCCATGTCATTCACAGGCAGTAGAGAGAACAATTAAAGACGTTAGCGCTGCCAGTTGTAAAGTTTATGGGAGAAAGTCCCGTCATGGCATGGTGTTGCAGAGTAAGAAATTCAGATTAGAGATACCAAAAATAGACAGCAAGAAAGATTTTATTAACAGTTAGGTTAAACAACTTTGTATTGTTGCTGTTTAACATTGATTCGTTACAGTTTACATTCTTTTTAATTTGTAATACATTGCAATACATTACACTAACATTGGGTATTTATGTAGTCTTTCTAGTCAGAGTTGGGACCTGTAGACACTGTCCATAAAATAAAAAGTGAGGTTTTTTCAAACGAGTACATCAAAAAGCAACTTTTTAGACATGTACAGGATCTCCAACTTAATATTTTGTACATTTTGACTCACCTTAATATATATATATTGTATATATAACAAATAATATTATTTATATATATATATATATATATATGTATATATATATATATGTATGTATATATATATATATATATAATTGAGATCAATTGAACTAAAACAATAATTACAATTTTAATAAGAAAATTTATTATTATAATGAATGAGATTATTGTGAGATTATTGTTAATAAAAAAATATTATTATTGTTATTATAAAAATTATTATTATTGTTTTTGTTAACATAATAATATTATTATTAATATCAAAAATATTACCGAAAATGCTATGATTTCTAAGATACTTTGCGGCTCGATTATTTGGATGAGAGTTATTTTAAATCGTTAAATGAATTTAAAAAAAATAAATTTGAATGCGTTTCGAGTAGACTTAATGCCACAGTCGTAAGATTTCAATCAGACTTAGAACAGTTAAAATGTTGAAATTTTGAACTTAACCCAATTTTTGCTAGTATAGCTAAAATTAGGATGGTGACATAATTTTTGATTATTACTCCAATTTTTGGTCCATTTGATACTTAAAAATGGTGTTTCTACTCTAAAAACGATATAGAAAGTCGGTGTATCTGAAGGTTATGGTAGAAAGCTGTTGGAGTTATGAGTCATACTCTGTATTGAATCTTTTTGGAAGTAATTGTGATTCAGTGAAAAAGGTCAAAGCTTGATGAAAAAAGGGCGAGGTTTTTTTGAACAACTGTATAGAACTTGGTCTTCTTCCTAATTTTACCAAACTAACCTCGACCAGCCGATCAAGCTTAACTACCGAGCAAGAACGTGAGCAACGCCTACTACATCTTAATCGGGAGTTAGATAATAAACGACATATTGTGAACGATATTACAACTAATTTAAACAATTTGAATCAAAATTTTAACAACCTTCAAATAACCAATGATAATAAAATACCTATTGAAACATGGTTACAACAAACAGCAACTTCACAACGACACCGCGTCAAACTTCGTACCAACAATAAACTTATAAACCTTTTAAAAGCAAGCAACAAAGATAATAACCGTTTCATCAACCTTAGTACCCATAATCTAACTCAACAACAAATAGATTTTCTAAACTTGGGCCTAAATTGCCACTACATCAACAAACCGCGAAATATTGACAAACAGATAGAGGTAGAAAAACTAATGGAAAATATTTTACAGTTACAACAAAAACACAAAATAATTGTCAACCCATCAATTGCTATACATCTTCAATCCGAATCGAAAAAACAACGTGGTGTGTTTAACAGCAAAATTTTAACAAACAGCATGAAAGTAGCTGCTAAAGAGATTAGAAATAATAAAGACATAATAGTTCGTCGTGCTGATAAATCCTCAATGTACGTCATTTTAAATAAAACAGACTATCTTGATAAATTAAGTAGTATTGTCAATGATGTTTCAAAATTCCAAGCGATGGATTCTGACCCCACCCCTAAATTAAAAACCGATCTTAATAATATTATTCGAAAAATAAATAAGTACCTACCTGATGATGAAAAACTATCAATACTTATAGGAGAATACAAACCTGGTTATTTGTATGGAAACGTCAAAACACACAAACCTAACAATCCTCTAAGACCCATAATCAGTCAGATACCTACCGTCACTTATCCAATCGCCAAATTTTTAAACAAAATTCTTACTCCGTACATACCTGATGGCTACAACGTCAAATCATCAAAAGAATTCATCCAAATTTTAAACAACAACAATTCATCTGACTACATTGCCTCTCTTGATGTTGAATCGTTATTCACCAATGTGCCAGTCAAAGAAACTATTGACATTATCATCAAAACTGTTTATTCCTCACATATGACTGCATTAAAAATTCCTAAAAATCTATTGAAAAATATGTTAAAAATATGTACAATGCAGGCACCATTCTTCAGTCCTACGGGCCAATTGTATCAACAGATCGATGGAATAGCCATGGGATCGCCACTGGGTGTCCTATTTGCCAATTTTTATGTAGGATATTTAGAAAGCGAAACTTTCAAAAAACATCCGGAACTTAAACCACATATCTATATACGTTACGTAGACGACATTTTTATCTCATATAGCAATCCAGACTATGTTCAACAACTCTTAATGATCTTCAACCAGTCAAAAATTAATTTCACAATAGAACACGAAGCCAATAGATCTCTACCATTCCTTGATGTTCTTGTTAAACATGACAACCATAATTTTACAACTTCTGTTTACATAAAAAATACCAATAAAGGCATCTGCTTAAATGGAATAAGTGAGTGCACTGAAGGTTATAAAATCAGCACAATTAGATCATTCATCAATCGCGCATTTACACACTCGACAACAGTTGAACATGCTCAATCGGAAATCAAACGTGTCACTAAATTACTTGTTAACAATAACTACGACCTAAATCAGATTGAAAAAGTCATTATTCAGGTTAACAATAAATTCAATAACAATAACAACAACAATAACAACAATGA